TCCGGCCCACGCTGCGCCTGGGCTGGGACTGGTCCCGCTGGCGCAGGGTAGCAGGAAGCTCTCCACACACTCACCGGACCTGGGCTAGGACTATAGTAATATTTCATACAGGAAGTTATGTAGAAAAATATCCTTCTTAGTAGAAATAAAGAAGTTGAGGGAAAGCTTTTCAATCAAATGAGATGTGAAACACCATTGGTGAATTGTTTCTGCCTTCTCCCAAGTATAACTTTCCTTAGCCAGGATGTAACTTATGTCAAAAAGAGAGAAAAATCCCCACCCCTTCAAGCATGGATCATTCTTCAAATGACATTTGGCTGGGGAAGGATGGTCCTGGATACAGTACAGCAGAAGAGATTTGAGACAGTGACATGGAACATGGGCAATACAGTGGTCCTGGTGGAAAGGGATTGGGAGAAGTACCCAACTGGCTTGCTCTACCAGTCCAGTTGTGTGACCAGAATTGAACTTTCTTCTTACTTTTTTTTGCATGTTTGTCCTGTGTTTGCTTCATATTCAGGCTGCCTCCTTTCTCTTTTATTACCAGTAGTTTCCAGGGCTACTGCCTTCCAGATTTGTAAGCCAGTGGGGGGAAAAAAGGGAATGTTTCTTTAATTGCTCAAACATAAATACAGAGATTGGCCTTGATTAGTCAAACATTGTTATTCATCTTTCTTAGCTCGATAAAAAATAAATTCTAGAAAACAGAACCTGAGACAAGGATTAGAATGCTTTTTGATTTTTACCTTGGAAGGCAGAAGGATAAAAAATCCTTGGATAGCAAGGATAAAAAATAAGTAAAAGTGAAGCAAGCAACAATGTGAAGCAGATCAAGGTAGAGTTATTTTGTGCTGTTCATTGTCTTGCATTGAACCGTGGTTCTTCTACATTGATTTCATAGTACTTGTGTAAAACTTATATCTCATGCTGTCACTTTCTGGCCTAAAATCCTGTAAGGCCTGTATTTTGGGTTTATTTAGTAAACTCGGTGATGAATTTAAGAGTTCAGTCATGAAGGCATAAATTTTATAAAGTTTATGAGACATTATTCCCTGGTAATATATGGGAAGATGAATAGGCATTGTCTAAAAGAAGTTGGGCAGAAGGGAACACTACACAGTTCAGGGCCAAAACCCATGAAATAGAATATAATATTAGTGATGTTTATAAGATCTTGACTGAAGCAAAATACGCCTAAGTTTGAGTGTGTCTCATAGAAAAATAACCCATTTTATATACCAAGTGTTCTGTATTTAAAAATATGACTGTCAAATAAAAATAAACCACTGAGAGGTTTTAAGAAGTATCTGGGCTGGCAGTGTAGCTCAGCAGACTAAGTACTTGCTTAGGTAAGCGCAGGGGCCAGGGTTCAATCCCTACACCGCATGTGGCACTGCCCCCCCCCCCAGCTCACTGAGCCAGCAATGGAGTCTGGGTGTGGTGGCACATGCCTGTAATCCCAGCACTAGGGAGGCAGAAATCAGGCAGATCACTAGGAGTCCAAGCTGTGTACTGAGACACTACACACACACACACACACACACACACACACACATACACACACACACACACAAAGTATCTGACTTTTTTATCACTGGGGCAAAATACTCAAAACTTACAACTTGGTTCACAGTTACAGTCACTAGTTGGCTGGCACCAAGGCAGAAAGAGCAGGGTGGAAGGATCTGGCATAGGAAGCAAAGTGAGAAAGAAAGAGCCAGGGATGGAGATGTCCCTTCCCAGCCCACACTCCTGGCAATCTGCTTCTGCTTGCCTCACTGCTTAACATCGCACACTGAGCTCTGAACCTATGAGCTAATCATCTTTCAAATCTCTGAACATAAGCCCTTTGGGACTTGTAGCTCTAAATCCTAACAAGCAGTAAAATAGTGAGATTAGATATATGATTTAGAATGATCATCCTAGCAACAGCAGTTAGGAAATGGTAGAAATCTAAGTGTGGAACTGGCTGTGGAAATGGAGAGAAGAGAGACTAAGAAGATTCTAACTGGACTACATAGTATGTGTTTACTAGATGAGAGGAAGTTTCCATTGGGCAATTGGCTCCATAGCAGTTCCATTTTGTGAGTTAAGGAACACAGATTTTATTGGAAAAGATAAATTTTTGACATGTTGAATTTTGAGGTGATTATAGGATATCCAAGTGGCAATATCCACTGGGACATTGAATATGTTCTGGAATATATATATATATATATATATATATATACTCTAAATTAAGTACTGGCAAAAGGCCAAGCTAGTGGGTGGACTCCGAAATACAACATAAAGATCTCCTGGGAAAGTACAGTAGATGTAAATAAATTGTAAACTCTCTTTTTATAACGCCAAGTAGTGGCTATATTCAGCCAACTAAAGGCAGGTGCATAGAACTAGGATAACAAACTCAGAGCTCAAAAATGTGACTGAGTTATGGGGACATGAATAATTTAAAGAGGAGTCCCCATTTCTACAACTATAAAGTGAGAGATTTAGATGAGGTGTTTCTAGATTTTTTTTCTAGTTCTAAAATCCTCATTCTCTGAGCTGATAGTGAAGAATCAGTAGGCTTGGGAATTCTATGAACAGTAATTCCTTCTGGGAGCTAACTGCTTTTATGCCCTTCCAGCCACTACTTCATCTACGTGGTTTCCACAGACTTTGAGATCTCCACCTACAATTGATTTCTTGAGAGGTGGCACCTGACCTATCTGAACCAATAACCCTTCCCAGGAAGTTGAGATAGGATGTGAGAAAGATGGCTTTTTCTGACAATGGAAACAATGCATGTAAAATGTGGAGCTGACTGATTTGCATTGACTTATTTTAAAAAATACAACCTATAATAAAGACAAAGCAAAAGTGAAGATAAATCTGGATTTTCCAAAGTGCTGCAGATCCTGTTTTCAATCTACTGGTGGGCATGTATTACATCTGCTGAACGTAGTGAATTACATCAAGATCTCTCTAATAATACCCCTCTCCTATGAGACTTAAAGTAGCCCCAGTTAAAAGCAATCCTAGTTAATTTTGTTATTTAAAAATCTGACAAGCTTTGTTAACATATTTAGTCAGATCTCATATGAGAAGAATAAATGGGAGATGAAACTATAAAGTAGTGCCAGGTATAATGGAGGAGCCTAAACTGGGGTAGTTATGGGGAGCTTAAGAAAGATTCATTAATACCTATAGAATCACTAAAACCTACACGCTATGGCATACATCTATAATCCCAGCTACTTAGGAGGTTGAGGCAGAATTATAAATTTGAGGTGAAGCTGAGAAATTAGTGAGTCCATGTCTCAGAAGGGCAGGGATACAACTAAGTAGTAGAGTGCTTGCCTAGCTTGCATGAAGCACCAGGACCAATCCAGGAAAAGAAGTTGTAAGACTGAAAAGCAAAATCACTGTGGTCTTGACCTTGGTGCTCTGCTTTCACAATAAGATGTTAACTCATTGTCCCTCATCTTTGTCTGTGTTAACTTGATTACAGTCATCCTGTAAAAGATTATCTATGTATGATCAGGCAATATCCCATGGTAAACCTTCCCACCAAGTCCCTGCCTCAAATGTGAGTTCTCCACTCTGACCAAACGTTTCAATGAAAATTATATTCACTAGAGTAAGTGGATCAATCTCTCATCCATCAGACAGTCCCACCTCAAAAGTCAGGGATTAAGCTGGGCATGGTGGCACACACTTGTAATTCTAGCACTCAGGAGGCTGAGGCGGGGGGTTCATTGTGAGTTCAAGACCAGTGTGGGCTACAAAGTGAGCTGAAGCCCAGCCTAAACCGCACCACCAGACAATGTCTCAAAAAAATAAAAATCAGGGAGTGAAGTAATTGGTTTGGAAAAGGGTCTCTTCCTCCAGCTGAGGCTTGTTGGGCTCAAATACTCTTCAAAAAGATAGGAATTTTTTTCTGGCTCCTGGGATAACAGGTACTGCTATATCTGGAAAACACAGTTAAGCTAGTACTTCTAGACTATAGTGCTATGATAAGAGTATTTCTGATGTCTGACAGAACTATTTGCCCTAGATGTTTCAGATCCTACAATTCTGTTATCTTGCTGGTAGAAATAGTCTATACCCTATGAAGGTCAATTTATAATGTCCATCATACAAATGCACATATGTATTACAGCAGGAATTCTCATTCTGGGAATTTACCCTACATCTACACTTACATGTTTGAGAAATAAAAAATATATCTGATTACAATATCTAAAAAGAATCTAAAAAGAATAGAATAATCCAAGTCACTCCATAGTGAACTAGGTAAAGAACATCCATCCCATGGAATGTGATGGAGCTATAAAGACTAGGCAGGTGCTTTTATTTAGTGAAGTGGAAGGACTATGTGATACACTGATAAAACTGACATGTAGATAGATGTATTTGCATAGGAGGCTGCTATTTCTACTTAAGGGAAACTGTATATTTGTACTATTCTCAATGTAAGTAGAATACTGTATAGTACACAAAAGAAAGTTACTTTTTAAAAGACGGCTGCCTCTTAGAGGATTTGAACCCTGGGAAAGAGCTATCCACTGTATACAACTCTCTTGTGTTCTCTAAACTTTAAACTGTCTACAGCTTTCCTCATTAGAAAAATAAAGGCTAAATTTAAAATGTAGGGGTGACAATGTTTTAAAGAGTAGTTCTCAAATGCTGATCTGTAAATCAGTGAATGCCTATGAGAATTTTATAATAATCTACCATGAAGTGAGAAAAAAAAATGTTGCAAATTTTTTGTAATGATGAATTTGAGGGACCAGATTTTATTAAGTATTTTTGAATAGGAGTGTCAGCAGTTTATGAATATAGTATTTATTTACACAATGGACAAATTAAATGTTACCCTCACACCAGTTTCTCAAACTTATTTGAATTCTGAAATTTTAAAGTTTTAGAATAACTGATTTAGATTTGGATTTTATTCTCATATTATCATTTGTTACACATTATTTCGGAATGCATTCCTTCTGTGTATTTCATGGTGTCGGCTAAGTGATGAATTATAGCTGAAGGATTTTCCACATTCATTGCATTCATAAGGTTTTTCCCCAGTGTGATGTCTTTGATGTTTCTTGAAGGATGAATCGTGCCTGTAAGCTTTTCCACAGCGGTCACATTCATATGCTTTCACTCCTGTATGAACGGTTTTATGGTTGCTAAGATGTATCCTCTGTCTAAAAGCTTTGCCACATTCTTTACATTTGTAGGGTCTCTCTCCAGTATGGATTCTTTGGTGGTGTGTTAGATATGCTCTATGACTAAAAGTTTTACAACACGCAGTGCATGCATAGGGCTTCTCCCCAGTATGAATTCTTATATGTTCACTAAGGTGTCTAATCTGTCTGAAGGTCTTTCCACATTCATTGCAAGTAAAAGGTTTCTCTCCAGAATGAGTCCTCAAATGTTGGATCAAGCTTATGTTCTGACTGAAGGCCTTCTGACATTTATCACATACATAAGGTTTTTCCCCAGTGTGAGTTCTGTGATGCTGATTAAGTGATGAGCGATGTCTGAAGGTTTTGCCACATTCCTCACATTCAAAGGGTTTCTCACCAGTATGGATTCTCTGGTGTGTATTAAGAGATGCACTTTGACTAAAGGCCCTTCCACACTCCTTACATCTGAAAGGTTTTTCACCAGTATGAATTCTCATGTGTTCAGTAAGGTGAATGGGCTGTTTGAACATTTTTTCACATATATTACATTCATAGATTTTTGTTCTTATGCAATTCATTGAATGATTAATCAGATCTAATTTGCATTTGTTCTTTTTTCTAGAAGTGTCACATTTATAGTGCTTCTGCTCTAAAATATCATTTGAACTCACACTATTTCCCCCAAATTTCTTAGCTTCTTGGCTTCTCTTTTTGTGGGTCAAAATGGCTTGTCTCACATCTGTCTGATAGTTTTCCTGGTGCCCTTCTAAAGCATCATATCTGGAGACTTTTCTTAGTGCAGAGTAAATGATATCATTGCCTATGAGCCTTTCCATCATAATGCCATGATATAATTGTTCCTGGGATATGTCATTCTTTGACATTGACTTGCTAGTTTCTGTTTTACTCTTCAAGTCTGAAAGAAATGAAAAATCCAAGTAACTCATATTCACTAGGCTTTGAAAAAGAATCATTTCCTGTACTGATAAGAGAATATACATATAGGCAACTATATTTAGATATATAAACAGCCTGGAAAATTAATGGCAAATGATAAATCAACAGTTAACATGTTAAGTTTATCTATCAATCTGAATCTTTAGTGCTGTTCTTCATGCTATTACTAAGTAATGCAACTTCAATGCTATGTTTTTAAATTATATTTGTAAATTGACTATAACTTTTAGGAAACAATTTCAGAAAGGTAAAATGTTCCCTTCCCCATTCCAGCAGGAGCAGAATAGACATTAATTCAAAGCACACATGTTGAACTAAAAACACTGACAAGAACAGTACATTGTCCTTTCTTAAAACTTGTATTAGTGTGTGTGTGTGTATGTAGTTCTGCTTTACCTAGTTAATATATCCATGAAATGTTATTTATTTAAAGGAAACTTGAAAGAAATTCAAAATTCTATATTAATACTGCTGCAAGGCTCAAGGAATATATACTTTACAATTCTGACTGGTTTTCTTACTTATAATTTATTGTACCAATACTAATATTTCAACTGACAGGACTATATTCATGAAAAATAAAACTTATATTTTGATCAACTCAGAAGGTTTATTATCACTTTAAAATTTCAAATTCTAAATGATTAGAGTCAATAATGAAGTCTTTGCTCTGTGGGCCCGATTCTGGCCATGAATAGGGCAAGAGGATGGGAAGACAGTAGGGAAAGAGAAAAGGAGCAATCTGTGAACCCCTCCTCAATTCAGTATCCAACCCTGAGGAGGCCCAAGTTACAGGAAGAGAAAACAAGGTTCAATTGTGAGTTTTAATTATTTCACTGAATTCAGTAAGTATTTTCTTTTTCTTTTTTTGCTCTGAATGCCTTCAGGGCAGGTTTGGCTGGCTTGAGTTGTGGGGATGAAACCACAGCAACCTGAGCCTGACTGCTTTGTTGAATGAAGCCACTTAAAGAAATGAGCTAAAGGGCAGGCCCCCTAAAATGGCAGAAGGTTTTTTTTGTTGTTGTTGCTGGTCTCAAGATGCCTTCAGGGCATCTCTGGTTTCCTGGGAGAGACTGGGTTTGAACCAGAGCATCCTGAGCCTGACTACTTTGTTAAAGCAGGAACTGAAACAACTGCACTAATGGGCAGGCCTCCTCAGTAAGTATTTTCTTAAAATCAAGACTGCTATTGTTTAAAGATATTGGGCCATCTGTAAGACTTCTTTGACATTTCATCCAGAGGCAAGGAAAGAAATTTTAAGGTAATTTTTGTTATTATTTTGTTTTAGTTATTTGTTTTCTGGTGCTGAGGATCAAACCCGGGACACTGCATATGCTAGGCACATGTACTACTACTAATCTATATCCTTAGCCTAGCCCTGTTAAGTTCATTATTATAAACTGTAGGGAAGACACAAGAGAACATACAATTATTAGAATTTATAAAACAATAAAACAGTATTGAAGATCCGTATTCAAAATCAATTGTCATTATTACTGACAAGCTGAAAACAATTTAAGAAACTATACCATTTATCACAGTAACCAAACAGGATTTTCAGGATCAATCTAGCAAAAGATGTACAATATGTAAGACATCTTTGTGGGAAAAATCCCGAAACTTTATTGAATAAAAATTAAAAAAATAAATGAAGAAATATATTAAGTTCCTTAATAGTAAAACCTTAACAATGTCAATTGTCCTCAAAATTGATCTAGAAATTTGATTCTATTTTAACCAAAATATTAGCAAAGCATTCATATTTGTATGTGTGTAATTTGATGCACTGTCTATAATTCATAAAGAAAAGCAAAGGACTAAGAATAGACAATCCTAAGGAAGGAGGTGGGTGAACCACCTCTACTTGGTGTACTATGTTTCATTATGCAATATACTAATTAAGACTGGCTGGCAGTAGAGTAGGAATAAAAATAAAAGTGAAATGGAATAGAAAGATCCCAGAAATATACCCAAGCATACAAAGAAACTTGACAGGTGGCAAAGTAGCCTTGACTTATCAATAAATGGTTCCTGGACAGATTATCCATGTGGAAAAAGTTAAACTAGATTTGCACTTAATAGTCTATATAAAATAAAGTCCAGGTGAATAAAATATGAAAAGCCAAACTTCAAAAATTTAAGACTATAGAGAGAAACATTTATGTTATCTACAGGCAAAATAGAAGACAGCAGCATAAAAGCAAAAGATAAATATAGTACTATTCAATTTAGAACTTTGTCTTTTTTGAGATAAGGTTTTGCTATACAGTTTTGCTATGAACTCACTTTGTAAACCAGGCTAGCCTTGATCTTACTGCCTCGGCCTTCCCAGTGCTGACACCTGCCTCAAAACTTTTTTTGGGGGTACTGGAAATCAAACTAAGGATCTAACTGAGCTAAGTCACTGACTAAATTTAAAACTTGTAAAAGCTTCTTTTAAAAGCTGGGAAGACTGAAGCAGGGATCACAAATTTGAAATCAGCCTGGGTCACTTAGTAAGATGTTGTCTTAAAATAAAAAGGGCTGGGAATATAGCTATATGACAAAGCACTTGGTTCTCATGCATGACCCCTCAGTTCAGTCACCAGAACCAGAACCAAAACAAAACTAAAAGATTGACCTCTGGCTGAGAAAAAAAATTGAAAACAAAGCTATCAAGGATTAATATCTAGAATGGGTATGTATTGACATATATATGTCAATATAATAATAGAAAAATTAGCAATGAATATACACATATAGAGCATTTACAGAGGAATGCAAGGTGGATGATTGATAAACATGAGAAACACTTTTCACTAGCAATCAGGAAAGTGAAAAAATGGTCTCATATTCATTCACTGAATTTTTACAATTTTTAAAAGTCTGACAATTTCAAGTTTTGAACAAAATGCTGAATTCTGGAAGCTCTCCCTCTCAGCCATTTTTATTTCAGTAGTAGGGACTGAACCTAGTACTTTGGGCATGGTAGACAAGAATTTGAACACTGAGATATATCATTATTCCTGAATTCTAGGAACTCTCAAAACCTGCAGATGAATACACAGATCAGTGAAACTGCTTTGAAGAGCAATTTGGTAATACTAAGACAATGAAGGCATGCACATTTCATGACTCTACAATTTTGCTTTTACCAACTCTCTTAGATACTTGCATATGTGTATGAGCATATATGTACATGAAGATTAACTACACCATCTTTGTAATCCCCAAATTTGGAATCAATATGTTTATCACCAGAAAGATAAGATAGGATAGGGGGCTGGGAGGATGGCCCAGTGGAATAAGCGCTTCCCTGGCAAGCGCAAGGGCCTGAGTTCAATCCCTGGTTCCGCAAAAAAAAAAAAAAAAAAAAAGAAAGAAAGAAAGATAAGATAGATAGATAGACCAATAGATATTTATTATTACTGCAGATAGATATTTATTATTTTAATGAAAATTAATGAACCAAAACAACATGGAGAAACATCAACAGTGATAAAAGTGAAAAGCAATTCAAAGTATACGTACTATTTACTTAAAGAACAGCAAATGTTAAGGGTCTGCCAAATAGCTCAGTGGATTAAAGCACCTGCAACAAGGCACAGGGGCCTGGGGTTCGATCCCGGGGCCTGCTGTGCCAGCCGTGCCAACCCCACCCCCAGGGCGTGCTGAGAAGGCAATTGAGACTGGGCATGGTGGCGCACGCCTGTAATTGCCACTCTTGGGAGGCTGTAAACAGGCAGATCACTACAAGTCCAATCTAGTAGTGAGACCCTGAACACCTTGTAGACCTTTCCCTAAAAAATAAAAAAAAGAAAAAGAATAGCAAATGTAAAAGAATGCTGTTGTTTAGCATGATATGTGTGTAATGAAAATATGAAGGCAAATGGGAATGAAAACAAACTCAAAAGAGTGGTTATTCTAAAAGGCATGAGGGACCAATTAATTATAAAATCCCAGGATACACAAGCAGATCCATTCCCAAAGCCCTACACCTGGACTTCTTGCCACAACTTGAGCAGGTTTTCAGTAGGATGGGCTAGATCTGATGTCCGCCTGAGCAGTGGGTGATACAAAAGGGACATTCCACATTGCGCTTTTGCCACTCTGTTCTCTCTTGCATGGTCCACCTTCATGCTGTAGAGTATACTTCTAGTCCTACTTTTATGTGCTCTGCAGAGTTTGTCTTTTTCCCTACCTTTTGTGGAACTTTGCTACTATTAAAGAAAGTATTGGGATCTTGGCTTAGCCCCAATTGCCTAAACAAGTGGATGGCCAATGGCTTAAATAAGCAACAAATGGTATGATTTTAGGGCTCCAGGAGGATCAAAACCCTCTAATAGAATTTGAGATTCTCTGGGGGTTGAGACAAATAACTTCCCTTGGAGGCCTGTATTTTTTTGATTTTCAAACAAAGGAAGAAGATACTGAGGTAATCACAGGAAACTGAGCAGGACCTTGGGAGTCAGTGCAAAGACTTTCCCAAGCAGTACATTTTGCCAACTAGAACTGTCTTATCTCCAGGTTGACAGTTGTGGTAGAGTGAAATGACCACAGCTGCAGTCCCTATCTTGTTTATTGGAGTCACAGCCAGGTGTCCGCAGCTCTGGCCTTGTCTTGCCCTTTGAGGCATCATAGCAGCACAGACCACTACATGCCTTGGCAGGACCAGTGAATTATAGAGGCTTACTTACTGTGAATTTGCTGCCTTCTCCCAGCATGGTCCTAGGCCTTGGACAGACTCATGAGTAAATAAAGAAGCCAACTGATTAATTTTAAACCCTGCTCAGAGCTACTTTGTAATAGTGTCCAGCAAGAAAAAACGTAGGCGCTGGCCAGATAGCTCAGCAGACTAAAGCACCTGCTTAGGCAGACTGCAGTGGCCAGGGTTTTGTCTCCAGCATGCTGTGTTGGCCCCACCCCCATGGCATGCTGAGAGGGCAATTGAGGCTGGGCATGGTAGTGTGCGCCTGTAATCCCAGAGCTTGGGAGGCTGAAAACAGGAGGATCACTATGACTCTGATCTCTGTAGTGAGACCCTGTAGACCCTGTACTAAATATATAAAAAATTTAAAAAGGCTA